TAAACGGTGCTGGAATAACTGGCTAGCCACATGCAGAAGTTGAAACTGGACCCCTACCTTTCACCATATAAAAATGAACTCAAGATGGATTCAATACTTAACTGTAAAACCTATATCTATAAAAATCCTAGAAGAAAACCTAGAAAATAGCATTCTGGACATCAGCCCTGCCAAAAATTTTGTGACAAAGAAATCAAAAACAATTACAATAAAAACATAGATAAATGGGACCTAATCAAACTAAAGAACTTCTACACAGCAAAAGAAACTATCAACAAAGTAAACAACCTACAAAATGGGAGAAAATATTTGCAAATTATGCATCTGACAAAGGTCTAATATCCGGAACCTATAAGAAACTTGAACAAATATGGTATCAGAAACCAAACAATGCCATTAAAAAAATGGGCAAAAGACATAACAGACACTTCTAAAAAGAAGGCATACAGTAGCCAACAAGCATAAGAAAAGCTGCTCAATGTCACTATTTGGGAAATACAAACCAAAACCACAATGAGATAGCTTCTCACACCACTCAGAATGATTATTATGAAAAAGTTAAAAAATGCTCTCAAAAAATACAGATGCTGGTGAGGTTGCAGAGAAAAGGGCATGCTTATACACTTCTCGTGGGAATATGAATTAGTTCAGCCACTGTGGGAGGCAGTCTGGAGATTTCTCAAAGAACTTAAAATAGAACTGTCATTCGACCCAGTAATCCCATTACTTGGTATATACCCAAAGGAATATAAATTGTTTACCATAAAGACATATACACATGTGCATTCATCTCAGTGCTATTTACAAAAGCAAAGACATGGAATCAACCTACGTGTCCATTAATCGTGGACTGGATAAAAGAAATATGGTACAGACACACCATGGAATGCTACACAGCCAAGAAAAAGAATTAGATCGTGTCCTTTGCAGCAGCATGGATAAAGTTAGAGGCCATTATCCTAAGTGAATGAACGTCTGAACAGAAAATCAAATACTGCACGTTTCCACATATAAAGAGAAGCTGAAAATAGAGTACTCATGGACACAAAGGAGAGAACAATTCCACTTGAGGGTGGAAGGTGGGAGGATGGTTAGGAATGAAAACTGCCTATCAGTGATTTTGCTGATTACCTGGATGACAAAAGGATCCATACACCAAACCCCCGTGGCACAGAATTTACCCATGTAACAAACCTGCACACGCACCCTTTAAACCTAACACGAAAGTTGGAAAGGAAACAAACAAAAAGAAATAGAGCATTCATAAAACACAGAGGAGTAAACCAATAAAATAACATGGTTTAATTTTACCGGGGCTCTCAGAATCAAATATTTAAAATTCATTAAGGGATTCTGACAATTGCAGTTTGTGAATCCTAAAGACCTACATATTACTTTTGAAAATAGAAGACATTATTTAATACATATTTGCTTTATTAATTTCTAGAGGTTTATAACTGTTCTAGCACTGAAATCTCTTGTTTGGAAGCTCTTGTAAGTGTCTAGCAGTGGTAGACCATAACATTTGGCACCAGTCTTATTTTGATTTAGATCTTGCATCAAATACTTATTCAGAGTTCAACAATGGATAACTTACTTCTTTTGAACCTAGCATCCCTATCTGTAAAATTATGAAGATAAAAATACCTTCTCACAGGTATGTTTTAGTTATCTATTTTTCAGATAATCTCTGCATGTATGGAAGATATTATTTGGCACACAGAAGTCACAGAGTACATATATAAATAAGAATAAAAATAATATTAGCAGTAATAATAATTACAACGAACTTGTCCTTAGGGTTTACCAGGCCTTTACAATAGAGTTTAAGTTCATTAATCTAAAACTTCAAAATTGACCTACTAGAATGATAACTTTATAAATAGAAAAGAAATTTTCTTATTTAAAAAGCAGGCATGCTTTTGAGAAATGTGCACATTCAAACAGGAGCAATATTTGGGAATTTTGTTTGGTTATTCGTCTTTTTGGAGTCTTATTGATATATTTCCTTTTGATTTTCATCAGGTCTAACACTTCATATGGTTGGTCTGGAAAACTCTTATTTTTATAGATCAAATTTAGAAAGAATGCATGCCAATATTTTGAATTTGGTCAATTTTGGTATGGACTGGGCAATCTTTCTAGAACCTTTTGCATATACTCTCCTTAAAGTCCATGATGAAAATACCACTGATATGAAGTCTTCCAAAATATCTAGGTAAAATAAGTCAATATTGATCTTTTTTTCTGCAGGAATGCTAACATTTTTCTAAACAGAAAATCTCATTAAAACTTTACTAGCTACTCTTTGTTACTGTTAGTATTTTTAAATGCCTTTCATACAATATATTTTTTTTTTCTGGTTAGGTAGCTTCAAGTGTGGAGGAATCAATGCAGTTATTTGAGACTCATTTTGGTAAATAAAAATTATTGTGTGGCAAGAAAGTGAACCTCATTGCCACATGTTCAGTGACTGGCAAGAAAGAATCTTTAATTTGTAGTAAAGCATCAGAAAAATGTATGAAATACAAACTCTACTTAGGTTTATTTTTTGCTTTTAAGTTGCAGTTTTTATGTTCTACTAGCATTTTTTTTTCTTCTCCATATAGCTTCATTTCATGGCCATGAAGCACATTCAAAATAAAGTTAAAGACAAAGACAATAAATTTTGATGATAGGAACCTGTTTTAAAAAATCAAACAATTCTTTTTAGGTCAAATGTGCTTTTAAAAATTTGTTATTGGAAGAAATGAGTAAGTCTCTAAGAAGTTGTAGAGGCTTAATTAATTTTTATGGATATCATTGAAATTATAGCCTTATATACACTGAAATAACTAATTCTTCCTAGTTAAGGCTATTTAGCTTCTTTTCATGTTTATAACACAAAGCAGCCCTCATAAAGAACACATCCGAAGCAGAGACCTTCCACTGAGCTTCTGCAATCCAACGGACAGTGCTTATTTAAGGTGTTAGTCTAGGGTGCAGCATTGGTTCTTTTTGAGTTTAGGGCTACCGTTAAAAATAAACAAATAAAATAGAACAAACAAAAAGGCGTTATAGCTATTTTTCCAGGCACATCAACTTTTATTTACACTGAGTTATTACCAGAAAGCATCACCTTGGGCCTTTAGGGCAGTTATGAATATGGCAGCACGTGCTGTGCTGCGTGGGCAGGACACTGCAGCCTGGTAGTTCCCATCAGCATTGGTGGTAGCCACACATGTACAAATCACTGTTATGTAATGAGACAACCCAGAATGTGGCAAGGTGACAACTGTCAGTGATTCTTCCTCTCTAGACTGTACATCCTTTGGGTTAAGTGTTGTACCTTGCAAATATTTATATCCACAGAGACCAGCAAAGCGTCTGGTACATAAATAACTTTATTTATTACTCCATGTAATAACTGAATGTTAAACATGAATGAAAATTTTCTGTTTAGGTATGTATGTTTGCAAGTGTATTCACATACAAGAGAGACAAAAAGACTAAAGTAGTAAAAAAGAATAAATCCATACTTGCAGCCTTGCTTTTTAAAATTTTGAATCATTCTATTCCGTATTTTTATCTGGAAAAACCTATAAGGTCTTATTGTTGGAAAGAAATTGTGAAAAATGTTACTAAGACAACATTTTTGAACTACTATTTTATAAAGCAGTAGTCTTCAAAATTGGGTACCCAAGCATCTGAGGATACGTAAAGAGTCTCTAGCAGGTACATGGGCATACACATAAACAGCTTTAAAAAAAAAAATCAATTTCCAAATCTTCAACTTCAATATGTGTCTTTTCCTAAAAACAACAAAAAAAAATCTGCCATAGAAGATCTGTAATCTGCCAAATCTTTTTTTCTGTCTCTCCTTTCAAAATTGTTCTTTTGTCACTCACTATACAAAAGAAGAGAGTGCATCTCACCCATCCCACATAATGTGGTATGTTCCCACAGGGTAAAAATACATTCAAGCACCAAATAATTCTGCTAGATACATTGCTTTTGAGAAGAGCAATGTATGGGTAAAATAAAAAGGACTATATTTAAGGGGTAGCACCCTAATTTATTCATATAAAAAACTAAGGGTGGAGCTTTGTATAAATTATCTTGACATATATCTTGGAATGCAGTAGTGAGATTTCAATCACGGCAATAAAAAATTATGTGTAATTATAAATTAAAACTGAAGGCAGACATTTTCATTGAAATTAAGTCTGATTTTGGCTGATAAGAGCTGTATTTGCCATTTGGGTTACATGATTGACATTTCTCATGATTTGAAAAGACTACATCTGAAGATTCTTGGTCTTCATAAAAAATAAAAGTGAGGTTCAACATTGAACCTAACACTGTAAATGAAGTTCAAATATTTAAACTGTACTAAATGCAGAACTGAATTATGGTAAACTTAATTAAATGACCACAGTGAAGCTGCTGTGAAGAATGGAAACCAATAGCACTATATGTGAATTTGTGCGGTCAATGGGTTTTATTTTCTCTTCAAAACAGGATTAAATAAAAAAATGCTAGAAGTCTTTAAAATTAACTGTAAAAATATCTGTGTAAAATTAAGATAATATTGATGTCAAGTTTAAAATGTTTGAGGACATAGAGAATTTTAAAAATCCTTTCAAAATAAAATGTCTTCAAATGAAAACACTTAGATATAACAACAGCAATTTCAGACTGGTTTCCAGTTTTATTCTTGTATTTTTGTAATAGTATTATTGTGACCATTGTATTGTATGGAAAGTCATTTCTCATTTAAAACATTACCTTGGCCTCCACTTTCTCATTTCTCTTAATCTTCCAGAATTCAAGCAAAGAGTAGAGTAGGGAGACTTGCATTTAAAAGAGGATTTTTAGTTCTGATTCTTAGTGCTGGGCAGAGCACATGAATTTGCCTACTTACTCTTCTCACCCAATTAAAATAGCAATCCACAGAAACAAAGCAGAATACATATACATCACCATATGTCTCAGTCATTTTGGGCTACTGTAGCTAAGTAGCACAGTCTGGATGGCTTATAAGCAGAAATTTATTTGTCTCAATTCTTGTGGCTGGAAGTCCCAACCAAGATCAGGGTGCCAGCCTCGTTCAGTTCTGGTGCAGACTGTTTTTGCAGATAGAAGTCTTACATCGTATCCTTGTATGGCAGAAAGAGGGTAAGAGGACTCTTTGGTGTCCCTTTTATAAGAGTACTAATCCTATTTGTGAGGGCTCCATCCTAATGATCTAATTACCTTCCAAAAACCCCACTTCCTAATATCATCACATTCGGGGGTAGGATTTCAACATATGAATTTGGAAGGAAGCGAACCAAAAACATTAATTCCATTGCATTATATAATAATGTCCCATTCAGTACTTATCTTCTGAAAATAATTTTTAAAAAATATTTTTCAAATAGCACTGTATGGAGATTTGTAAAATCCTGTTTCTTGGTTTTATATATTTGCAGTTAGCCTCAGTTTTCCTCAAATTTCTCACTTCATAAATATGTTCAGGCTTACTTTATTCTAATCTTCATTCACACAAGTATTGGTCAACTCTAAGGATGGAATAGAATAATTATTTACTATACTCTTTATAATGCAAAAGAAAAATTTGTCCTAATCCTTACTTGCCTACTGATTTTTTCTTCTCATTTTATAACATGTCTTTGAAGCAATTACATAATCTTACACTTCTTCATTACTGTAGAAGAGTTCCAATTGCTTTACATCTTTGCCAATGTTTATTGTTCTCATTTTAATGTTAGCCATCTCAGCAGATGTACCACATTGTGGTTTTAATTTGTATTTCTCTGATAAGAAATGATATTGATGACTTTCTTTCTTACTGGCACTGGCCATCTATATGCCTTCTCGTAAAGTGTTTGTTCAGATATTTTGACCAGTTTTTAAATGGTTGTTACGTTTTTACTATCTAATTTATAAGAATTTCAAATATATTCTGTCTATAAATCCCTTGTCTGTCATATGTGATATAAATGCTTTTCTCAGTTCATATTTATTTTATTAATGGTATATAGTAAATCTTTTCTTCATTTTCTTTCAAAAATAATATTTGCCTACCTCAAAGCAATGAATTTCCACAAAATTTTCTTTTAAAAATTGTATAGCTTTATCTTTAAGTCCGTAATTTATCTTTAATATTAATTTCTTCATATATTGCGAGAAACTGCAAATGTTGTGTTTTTAATATGTTTATTCAGTTTTTCTAGCTCCATTTGCTAAAGAAAAATTTCTCCCATCATTGTTTTTCTTTTTTGCATAGAGCTTTTTCAAAAATCAATTGAATTTATAAGTGTGAATCTATTTCTGGATTTTCTATGCTATTATGCTTTTTATATGCTTTTCTATTCTTGTCCATTAATATATTATATTGATTATTATAAGTTTATGGTAAGTTTTGATAACAGTTCGTATGTGTTCTACAGCAGTGACCTTTTTGGGGGAACCATTTTGACTATCCCAAGTTCTTTGCATTTTCATGTGAGTATTTGAAAAAAATTATCAAATTTTTCCAAGGAAGCCCATTGGCATTTTTTACTAAATTTGCATAAAATGTATGGAACAATGTAAAAAAGTTGACACTTTGAAAATATCGAATTTTCAAATTAATGAAGATGGTTTATTGCTCCATTTATCTAGGTCATCATAATATTTTACAATTTCTTTTTACTTATTTACTTTTCAGAGACAGTCTTGCTCTGTCTCCCAGGCTGGAGCGCAGTGGTGTTATCTGGGCTCACTACAGCCTCTGCCTCCCCAGCTCAAGCAGTCCTCCTACTTGAGCCTCCCAAGTAGCTGGGATTATAGGCGTGGGCCACCATGCTTGGCCAGTTTATTTATTTATTAATTGTAGAGATAAGGTCTCACTATATTACTCAGGCTGTTCTCAAACTCCTTGGCTCAAGCAATTCTCCCATCTAGACCTCCCAAAGTGCTGGGATTACAGGCATGAATCATAATGACTGGCCTTTTTCCACTTTGCAGTGTAGAAATCTTGAAATTTTTTAAATTCATTCCTAAAACTTTATTTTGTTTACCTTTTTAAATAGTTTTACTGTAAACTGATTTTTAAAATTCATTTTTCTGATTTCAACTTTGTTAATTGCCCCGTTTTTTTTTTAAATTATTATTATTATCTCATTGAATTTTCCCTGGTCTTAATTATTTTCCTTCTATTAACTTTTGGTTTCACCTATTCTGCTTTTTCTGAATTTTAAGGGAAAATTTAGGTGACAGATTATTAAATATTTTTATTCAAATGTAATCTTTTAAAGTTATAAATTTCCCTCTAAACACTGCTTAGTTACATCCCAAAAAGCAGTCAGTTTCATATAACTTATCATTTTATTTTTGACTCCGGGGACTCATTAGAAATGTGTTATTTTAATTCCAAAAATGCAGTAATTTTCTAATAGTTGCATTGTTAAAAAGTCCTATTTTTTTTTTTTTCACTGTGGTTAAAACCATAATCTGAATTTTCCATAATTACATGTTGTATTAGTCTGTTCTTATCCTGTTGTGACAAAATACCCAAGACTGGGAAATTTATAAAGAAACAAGTTTTAATTGAGTTACAGTTCTGCATGCTGGGGAGGCCTCAGGAAACTTGCAATCATGTCAGAAGGCACCTCTTCACAGGGCAGCAGGAGAATCAGTGCTGAGAAAAGGGGGAAGCCCCTTATGAAAACCATCAGATCTCTTGAGAACTCACTCGCTGTCACAAGAACAGCATGGAACAAAGTGCCCCCATGATTCAGTTTTCTCCACTTGGTCCCACCCTTGACACATGGGGATTATTACACTTCAAGGTGACAGATTTGGGTGGGCATGCAGAGCCAAACCATATCACATGTGTACTGGAAGAGAAAGTTTGTTTTTTTGTAGTGGATTGTAGTGTTTTAGTATATTAATTGAGTCAGGTTGGTTGATAGTGTTTAAATATGCTATGTATCTTGTCACATGTTTATTTAATTATTCTAATATTGTGTGAATGGTGATAAAAAGCTCCAAATGTGATTACAGATCTGCCAATATCTCCCTATAGGTAATCACTCTATGCTTCATATATTTTGAAGCTCAGGTAGGTGAATATACAGATTTGATGCCCTCCTTCCCAAATGCCCCTTAATCATCATATCTCAATTTTTAAATGTTAATATTTTTATCTAACAATTTTTGGTCTTAATGTAGATGCTACAGAATTAAGTTTAATGTTTTTATTTTTATCATTTCATATTCATTTTATACTTTATCTTTCCTTATTTTAATTTAAATTATATATCATATAAAGATCATATAGTTTTTTATCCCAACTGACAATCTCTGCCTATTAAATGGAGTGTTTAATTCATTTACACTTAATATAATTATTTATACAGTGAAGTTTAAGTCTACCCTCTTACTATTTGCTTTCTAGTTGCTACCTCTTTTTTTTTTTTCTTTTTCTTCTATCCCTCCAGTTATGCCTTCTTTTGGGTAAGCTCATTAGCTTTCACATGCTAATTTAAATTCCTCTACTGCTAGCTTTTTAGAATCTCTTTAACTATTTAAATAGGTGTTCTAGGGCAGGATTTCTCAATATTGTCACTGTTGACATTTAAGCCTAGATAATTTTTTGTTGTGAGGGAGTGTCCTGTGTATTGCAGTATGTTTATTAGCATCCTTGGCCTTTATTCACCAGATGCCAGGAGTACTCCTCCAGTTATGAACAACCAAAAATGTTTCCAGATATTTTCAAATGTCCTATGAGAGAAAACAATCACACATTGTCTAGAATAAGTGTTCTAAGGATTAAAATGTGTAATAATAAGTTATCACTATTGACTTAAGGACAATATTGTACCACTTCATATAACATGTGAGGACCTTAGACCAGTAAAATTATTTTATCTCCTCAATATGTGAAAGTATTGTGTGTATATATATTATATTAATATATAAGATATTTACATATATGAAAGATTATATTTTATATGTATCCATGCAATTAGCACTTCTATTACTCTTCGTATTTTTAAAATAAAATCTTCCATCTGCTGTCATCTTCCTAAAGAACTTCAGTTAAATTTCTTAGTTATGCTGATAACATTTATTCTCCATTATTTTGAAATCTGAAAATGTCTTCAATGTACCTGCATGTTTGAAGAACATTTTTACTTTTTAACACTTTATTTTTATTCCATTGTCTTACCCTTTCCATTGGTGGTAATGAAAATTCAGTCATCATTTGTATGTTTCATCCCAAATATTTAATATGTTGTGTTTTTTAATGGCTATTTGTAGGATTTCTCTTAATCTTTTTTCTTGAGCAGTGTGACTGTAATGTGTTAAGGTGTGTCTTTGGATTTATTCTGTTTAGGGATTTCTTGCGTCTTTTATATTTTTCACCAATATTAGGAAATTTTTAACTATGACCTTTTCTTTTTTGTTGTTGTTGTTGTTGTTGTTGTTGTTGTTTTGAGACTCTTTTTTTTTTTTTTGAGACAGTCTTGCTCTGTCGCCCGGGCTGGAGTGCAGTGGCCGGATCTCTCAGCTCACTGCAAGCTCCGCCTTCCGGGTTTACGCCATTCTCCTGCCTCAGCCTCCCAAGTAGCTGGGACTACAGGCGCCCGCCACCTCGCCCAGCTAGTTTTTTGTATTTTTTTAGTAGAGACGGGGTTTCACCGTGTTAGCCAGGATGGTCTTGATCTCCTGACCTCGTGATCCGCCCGTCTCGGCCTCCCAAAGTGCTGGGATTACAGGCTTGAGCCACCGCGCCCGGCAACTATGACCTTTTCAAGTTTGTTACTCCTCCATTCTTTCTAACCTTTTTCCCTGGGATGCCAAATAGGGATCCCTTCTCAGGAACTCTCTCTTCTTTATGACTGTGTCTTAAAAAACTCAGAAGCTGCAATAGTTGGGAAGCTGAATGTTTCTACTCTGATCAATGATACTACGATGAACTGTTAGACACTTTCTCTCTGTGTCACAGCAGAATAGCGCCACCATGCGAGGACTTGAGGGCTTGGCAGGGTTTACTTCATTTTATTCTCTCAAGGGTCACTCCACGTTTTCCAATGCCTGAAAAGACTGGCCTCGTATTTAAATAAGCCTTATAGTTCTTTTCAGCAGGTCAGCATGAATGTTACTAGAAGAAAAAGTCAAAGTTG